GAAGCTAAAGCCTAATTGGAGGGACAAATACACAACTAACCATTACCAAACAGTGAGTTACTGCTATCACCAAAGTATAAATAAAAAGCACAACAGCATGAAGGAAAGATGACTTATCACGTATGGAAAGGGGAGTTGGGGTGGTAGCACAAAAGTAGGAGTTGGGGAGTAGCACAAAAGCAGAAGTCTTCGTAGAAGTGTTGACCTCATCTTCTGAGCTCAACCAAACTCAACTCTATAAAAGAAAGGGGCATTTTGTTGGCATGGATGATATGCAGGAGATTTGGGAAGCAGAAACAGCGTTGACAGGGAATTGGAGCCAGAGGTATAATTCCTGTTGTAACTGATGTTCCATATGGTGCTTGAGCAATTTCAGCAGAAAGTAGGTCATGGTCAGATCTTCTGGGGCGGTTAATTTTTATAATAATGAAATGGGTTTTAATACTTAATAAATCACTTGATCACTTGACATCCCATTACTCATTGATTTGCTCAAGGGGGCTCCAGTAACATCTCCATTCATCCCTATCATGTGCTAATGTAGCGCAATGGCATCTGCTTGCTCCAGGAACACAAAGAGCCTCAAACCATTCATTCAGTGTCTTGACAAAGAGGTCTGACCATCTCATAGGTGGGCAGCCACACAATCATTTTACATACTGTGGAATCCAGTTGGTAATGGCTCTAGTCCAGCAATCGTCTCCAAATCGTATTACGTGTCCAGCCCATCTGATTTTCATTGCCTCGGTAAATGAGACAACGTCCCTGATTCTTGATCATCGACAGAGGTCAGAACTCTGGATTCTTTCTCTCACTTGAGTGAAGCATGATACTTCAAGCATAGCTCTTTTGATTTCTCTTTGGGAGACACAAACAGTGTTCTAATTCTGTTTTCATTGGGCCCAGGTCTCTGAGGTATATGTTAATGCAGGTAGAACAATGGAATTGAAGAGACATGCCGAAAGTTGAGGTTCTTCATCCTCTTAGCTATTTCTTTGATGCTCTTGAAGGCTCTCCAAGCTGCTCTCTACCTCCTGAGCAACTCAGGTGCCAAGTCAGTAATCATGTTGACTTCTTGACCTAGGTACACATAACTGTTGCATTCTGAGATGTTCATTCTGTTGAGAGTGAATGGAACATCAGGAACGGGACCATTTCTCATAAACATTGTGTTCGTGAGATTCAGCTGTAATCCGACCTTTCCACACTCACGGTCAAAGTCGGCCACCATTGGTGCCACTTGGTTAATGTTTGGTGTTATTAGAACTATGTCATCAGTGAAACGGAGGTGGTGTAGTTGCCAGCCATCTATATTTGCTCCCATTCCTTCCCATTCCAGTCATCACATGATGTTCTCAAGGATGGCACTGAAGAGTTTCAGTGAAATGGTATCACACTGCCAAAGCCCTCTTTTGACATGGATGATCACTTCCTTGTAGAATGGTGAGATCCTGGTAGTGAATCTGTAATACAGCTCATGGAGGATCCTGATGTATTGAGCTTGAACACCCTGTTTGGCTAGGGCTTCGATGACTGCTTCAGTCTCAACAGATCAAAGGCCTTCTTTAAATCAATGAATGTTAGACAGAGTGACATATTGAACTCCCAAGAAACCTCAATGAGCTTGGTTATCATGTGGATATGGTCAACTGTGCTGAATCTTTTGTGGAACCCGGCTTGCTCACATGGTTGTCCTTCATCTAGTGTTCTGCAATCCTATTCAGGATGACTCGAGTGAACAGCTTGTAGATGACAGACAATAGGAAGATTGGGCGATAGTTGCCAATGACGTGGATGTCTCCCTTCTTATACAGTAGTACAGTCCTGGTGGTTTTTCATTGGGATGGAACCTTGCATTCAGAGAGGTAGCGTGTGAAGAGCCGAGCCAGTGTATTGATGAGTACTGATGGCAGGTTCTTCAGGTGTTCAGGTTTGACCTTGTCTGGGCCGGGTGCTGATCGTTTCTTTACTGACGAAATGGTGTGTTGGATTTTGGAAGGGAGAACATTGGGAACGATATATCCATCCTGTGGAATTTGGTATGTGGGCAGGTAGACATGGCTATTGAAGAGATCTGAGTAGAAGTCATGGATAATCTTCTCCATTGCCCTTCTGAAAGATGTGATAGATCCATCAGGACATTGGAGGGCAGTCATCTTGGTCTTGTAGTTGGCGAAGGACAGCTATGTCCCCACCAACTGCCCCCACCATGTAATCCCATCAATGGCCAAGATCCAGAGACTATAAAAACCAAGTTCCCGGAAGAGAACAGTGTAAAGTCTTCTACTCTCGTGCCTGGCTGTCCACACTGGGGTCCCTTGGAGAGGGAAGGTTGAGTTTCCAGTCCCGCCCCGAGCAGAACTGAAAACCTCTGGAACCAGCCACAGCCATGCTAAGACCACTCTCCACATGCTCAGACGAGCCTCACGCGTGAAGGTACCGGCAGGGAAATCCAGGTGTGCAGGACCCAGGGCTGAGATCTCCAAGTCTGCTCGGATTATCATCTTCCAGTAGCTAGACAGTTACGCCCACCAGCTGCCCCAGTGCTGTCTAATCCCATTAACAGCCAAAATCCGATCCAAGGACTATAAAACCAAGCTCCTGAATTCGAGGCTGCATGACCTCTTATTGTCTAGTTCTCCCTATTGGAGAACCCGGCAGACTACAGAGAGTATCCTGCCCACACAGCAGAGTCTGGCAAGCTTCTTGTGGCATATTCGATATGCCAAAACCCAGTAACAATGATGGGTCTCATTCCCCTGACCCTGAAAGAACCTCCAATGTGGCACTTGCTAAAATCTCAGGCTAGAATGAATGGAGATGTTACTGGTGCCTGCTCAAGGAAATCGATGAACAACAGGATGACAGTGATACAGTGAAAATTATTTGATGTATATTATATAAAATATAATTAAGTAGTAAAGAGTATCTTGCCTAATTAAAAAAATTAAACAGAAACTACCTGTCATCTTTGCTAATGAATGAAACCTTTACTTTTTATTTATTTTTCCTTTTTTACTTTTTTGGTCACACTCAGAGATGTACAGGGGTCACTCCTGACTCTGTACTCAGGAATTATTCCTGTGGTGCTGAGGGAACATATGGGATGCTGGCAATTGAACCCAGGTTGGCCACACGCAAGGCAAACACCCTACCTGCTGTGCTATTGCTCCAGCCCCTGAATAAAAACTTTAAAAGAGCTATTTATTCCATTTAATTGTTTTAACCACTGAACTTAATTGCATCAAACAAGTCTTCTGGAAAATCACCCAAATAAGCAAAATGTCTTATTTATCATGATTCCAGTTTAAAAAATTATATATTTCATGAGACTAAGAGTAGACATCTTTCACCTACATTCGAGGATTTTAAAAGACATCAGGGACATCAAGAGAAACAGACAAAATTTACTGTGGCTACCATGAGTTGGACTTCCATGAGTTGATCGACTGAGTTCCATCAGGAAATATTGATAGCTGGCAAGAAAATTATGGATAGGAGCTAGGCCTTGCTTACAGTGGGATAAAATCAAGGCTCTTATCTCAACAAGTGGAGCTTCCACACTCCATTGTTCTGGTACAATTTCTTATCTGTACTTTAAACATGCTTAAATGTCCCCCAGTCAGGTAGGACCTTGACTATGAACCTGCTCAGGCTGTAGCCCCATCTTGTTATTTTAATGTGGCCAAATTCCATGAAAGTGAAGCCATTTCCTCAGCCTCATCTTTCTCATCACCTACTTACTCCCCATGCCCTCTGTGTCTTTAGAATCCTTTGCTCCCTCTCTGCTACAATTACTCTCTCACAATTTACCAACAGTCATTGAAACTAGAACACATTTGGGTGCTGTTGAAACCCCCATACTCCCTAAAACTTTGTTTGTTCATGAATCTACATTTTATTGAGCTCCATGGATTTCTCTTATTTTTATGACTTCTCTTAGTCCTACATCACATTTCCATTCCTTTTCATTATCCGCGTTTCCCCATCAGCATTGCTGCCTTTACAACTCCCATTCAAGCCCTCAGCTACAGCTGTCTTCTTTAGATGGACAGTTTCAGTGTCTGAATTTTCTCTCCTCTCTCCCAAGTTCCTTGCCTGCTTAGCACTAGGAGGTCCATAAATCTCAATACTGAGCTTGCCATTTCCATCTCCTTAAAATTGCCACCTTGTATCCAAAGTCACCTGCAGAACTGTTTATCTGGATCTTCCCTTCTCTCTGGCACTTCATGCAATGGCACTATCATTTCCACAGTGTTGTATATCCATCTTTCCTCTTTTCTCCACTCCCATAGCCATTATCTAGTCCATTACTTCTCACCTGCCTCTATATTGAGGCCTCCTCTGAGATTTTTTTTTATAGAAATCAGTTTTGTTTCTGTTTTGGGGGGTGCCACACCTCATGGTTCTCAGGGCTTTGGCTCTGTGCTCAGGGTTTACTCCTGGCAGGGCTCAGGGGGCCATATGTGTTGCTGGGAATTGAACCTGAGTCAGCCATGTGCAAGATAAGTATCCTATGTGCTGTACTATTGTTATAGCCCATATTCTTTTATATCTTTAAACATTCTCAGGGTCTACCCTATGGGTAGAGTGTAATCTTTACAAGCCTAAGGCCCTGTGTTTGAGCCCTAATGCTATAAAAAAATAAATTCTGTACTTTCATTTTATCTTCTTTATTCTCCTTTATCTCTGAAAGTAGTAAGAGGTGATTATCTTGTTTTATTTATATTTTTGTCCCATAATTTGTCCTATGGGAATTTTTGCCATATGGATTTATGATTGCAAATAATATTTCAAAATTTCATAATATTTAATGAATATTCATTTACTTTTGACTTTCACAAAATGATTGCCAAATCATCTCATTAAGAATGCTATATATGCTTCTAGTTATTGAGGTAGCAACTGTGTTTAAAACTGCCATAAACTGGTCTTTAATATAAATTATGGAATATTTTCATGATCCCATACTGCAACTGATCAGACATTTTTTATTTCAGAGAGAGTGGAGAAGAAAAGAGAACAAAAGGCAACTTCAGGTAAGATTTTGACTAATTGGTTCCAATATTTCTTGTTTTCATTGTTATCTTAAAAAGCACCATTTGCTACTGAATGATCCCACTTATCTCTGCGATAACAGATGAAGGAATGCATGATATCAAAGGGGGATACATAGATTATATCTGATCCTATATTATAGAAATAATAATAATGTGAAGGAAAGAAATATAAGGGGGAATTAAAAGGAAACAAACAAGAGGTGACAGGGACAGAGGAAGGAGTGTCTGATATATCATGGTGTAGAGGTATGGTCTATCTATACATCCATACAATGGAACAAACACCAAAAACAGGAAATCCAAGCTACAACAACCAAAATTTAAAATGTGCCTGTCAAGGAGGCAGGCTGTGAATGAGAGGGAAGCTGGGGACACTGATGGATGGAAGTTGACACTACACTGCTAATGGAATTGTTACTGAAATGTTTTATGCCTGAAACTCTGCTATGAATAATTTTGTAAATAATGGTTCTTTAATAAAAATCTTTTTAAATCCATTTGCAATTTAGTATTCAAAATTTCAGGAAAAAATAGTAATGGTTTATTGTCCTAGAATTAATGACATTAGATTATTATTGATATAGAATATTACACAGTCTCCTGCCTCTATGCCTGGCTGTCTTCACCTGGGCCCCTTGGAGGAGGGTGGGTTGAGTTTCCCTCCCCACCCCGAAGACTTCCGGTTCCAGCCACAGGCATGCTTAAGACCATTCTCCACATGTTCTGACGAGCTTCACACGTGAAGGAACTGGCAGAGGAACCCAGGTGTGCGGGAACTGGGATGTAAATCTCCAAGCCTGCTCAGATTGGGACTGGGCCTCCTCCACCCAGATACCCCATCTTCCAGTATGTAGGCATTACACCCACCAACTGCCCCTGGCGCCGTGTAATCTCATCAACGGCCAAGACCCAGACACTATAAAACCCAGCTTCTGGAAGCACACAGCTGCATTAGTGGCCATGCGACATCTTATCTAGTTCTTACTCTGGAGAATCTGGCAGGCTACCAAATGTATCCTACCTACAAGGCAGAGTCTGGCAAACTCCATGTGAGCTATTCAATATGCCAAAAACCAGTAACAATGATGGGTCTCATTCTCCTGACCCTGAAAGAACCTCGAATGTGGCACTTTCTAAAATCTCAGGGCTAGGATGAAGGAGATGTTACCGGTGCCTGTTCAAGGAAATTTGATGAACAACAGGATGAGAGTGATACAGTGATAGAATATGAGCTGGAGCGATAGCACAGTGGTAAGGCGTTTGCCTTGCACATAGCCGACCTGGGCCGACCCGGTTTGATTCCTCCACCCCTCTCCAAGAGAGCCCAGCAAGCTACCGAGCATATCACACCCGCACGGCAAAGCCTGGCAAGCTAACCATGACGTATTCAATATGCCAAAAACAGTAACAAATCTCACAATGGAGACACTGTCAGTATCCACTCAAGCAAAAATCCATGAACAATGGGAGGACCGTGCTATTGAATATTATATACATTAAAATTAATTTATTATTACCTCATTAGTCATAATATATTTTTTATTTTACTGAAAATAAGTAGAATGAAATGTTGGTTTCTTCATGATTACCTATTTAAAGGTAAATTTACAATCACCAATTTTAAAATATGGAGGTTGGGATACTTTATAGTCATTTATTTTCCCCAAATATCTTTGAATCTCTTTTATTTTTTAAAAATCATTCATATAGTTAATATGTTTTCAGGACAGTGTTCATAATTTATTTGAGGGCTTGAGAGACAGTACAGCAGGTAACACATTTGCTTTGCACACAGCCAACCCAGGTTTAATCCTAGGTACCTTATGGTGTCCTCCATGTAAGGCCAGGAGTGATCCCAAAGCACAGATTTCAAGAGTAAGACCTCAATATCACCAGGAGTGGGTCCCCAAAAAAACAAATTCAAAATGGATATTTGAGGAACAATGTAAGTGATTATTACACTTCTAAGTTTTAATTTACATATAACAATGTGTGATGCTGGTTCATAATGCCATTGAGCATGCTAAGGGTCTTTATTTGCTCAGAAGTATGTCACTGTCACTGTTCTCCCATTGTTCATTGATTTTCTCGAGTGGGTGCAGTAACATCTCCATTGTGAGACTTTGTTGTTACTGTGTTTGCATATCAAATATGTCACGGGTAGCTTGCCAGGCTTTGCCGTGCGGGCAAGATACTCTCGGTAGCGTGCCGGGCTCTCCGAGAGGGGCAGAGGAATCGAACTCGGGTCGGCCATGTTGGCTGCATGCAAGGCAAACACCCTACCCGCTGTGCTATCACTCCAGCCCTCAGTAGTATAAAAAATAGTTTCTAGCTTTTCATAATCTTGCTTTCAATTTAAGGTAATAATGTAAGATAAATTTTAATTATCAAATAAATCTATTCATAAGGCCAGTTTTCCAGATCCCAGTCCCCAGAAGTTGCCAGTAATCATAGAGAATTCTCACTTGACATATATACCTTTGTGTGTCACCCTTCCCACACCTCCACCAACCATTAGTCTTATGATCTGTGACAACTGACAGCGTATAAACACATTGCTCCCAGCCATTATATTTTTTCAACTTTATTTTAATTTAGTAACAAGGTATTTTATGTTTCCAGCATGATGGGATATAAATACCGGTATTAATATAAAGGTAAAGGTAAAAGCCCTCCCGTTGATCGTCGATTTGCTCGAGCGGGCCCAGTAACGTCTCCGTTGGAGACTTTATTGTTACTGTGTTTGGCATATCGAATACTCTCGGTAGCTTGCCGGGCTCTCCGAGCGGGGCGGAGGAATCGAACTCGGGTCGGCCATGTTGGCCACTTGTAAGGCGAACGCCCTACCCGCTGTGCTATCGCTCCAAGCAAATCAATAACATCAACCCTGTCTTTTCTCCTTCTCAACCTAAGCATTCATCTCAAGACAGCTGGGAACTTACTCTTTGAAAACTTTCTCTCTTAAATGATATGTTTTCACTCTCTTGGTGGATCTTTTTAAGTTATAACATAAGTAACAATGAAAATGTTAAAGTAAGAAAATCTCTGGTTTCCTCTTATGCGATTACTTCATTATTGTTCTGTGGTGTGTGGGGGAATTGGTATGTTTCTGAAACGTTACTGCTCTGATCCTGCAAGTAATCATTTCTTTATAAAGAAACCTCAAAGCTCTAAAGAAGGCTAAGTCATCCAAATTGTTAAACCAAACTTGACCGTAAGTTCTGTCTATCTCGTGGATTCTTTTGTCTTAGGTCATCAAAGTGACCCGAAGAGTCAGATACTGAGACAAGAACTTAGATTTCTTCACTCCTGATTTTTTCCTGTGTTCTGCCCCTCTAACCCATTATTTCAAGACAAAATGCTACTCACCTTGATATTCTATTAATGTCTTTCTTGGTAAAATATTTTTCTATTATTGGGAGATATTCGATATTTTATTCTATTTTTCTTCACTGGGGATTCTCAGTGGAGCTGGAGCGATATTACAGTGGGTAGTGCATTTGCCTTGCACACGGCCAACCCAGGTTTGATTTCTCTGTCCCTCTCAGAGAGCCCAACAAGCTACTGAGAGTATCCAGTCCACAAGGCAGAGCTTGGTAAGTTCCCTGTGGCATATTTGATATGCAAAAAACAGTAACAACAAGTCTCACAATGGAGGCGTTACTGAAGGCTGCTAGAGCAAATTGTTGAACAGTGGGAGGACAGTGCTACAGTGGGGTTTCTCAGACTGTAGGTCTGTCAGTATCCACCCCATATATGCAGCAGTACCTGCCACTGAGCTCATGACCTCGCAATTGCCATGGAGCTTCTTAAACCACTGAACCATCCCTTGGACCTTATCATGCCTGGGCTCCCTCCTAGAAGAGTTGTCATGATCACCTCAGATGTGCAGGTGACACCAGGGTTTCAACTTGACTTACAATTTATTGGGTAAATACCTAAGCCATCTTATTCTAGCCTCCTTTTACTTTAAATTAAGATTTGTTGTGGATTTACCATGTGTTTAAAGTACTGTTTAAACTTCAGGAATACAGTTCTGTATCTTTATGTAAAAGTATAGAATATAAATGCATAAGTTGTATAAAGCCTCATGGCACCACCAAAATTCTAATGCACTCGTACCATCAACTAGACTCCTTCTTCCTACAATTCTTTCTCCCCTAGTAGCCTTTATGTTTTCCACGACTTTAAGTTATTCTTGCTATTTTAAGTTTATTTCTTTGATTATTTATACTTCATGTAAGAGAAAAACCATCTGATAATTATCTTTGACTTTCTGACTTTTTCCATTTAGAACAATCACCCCATATTCAATCTATGTTGTAAAAGGCAAGATCTCATCTTTTTTAATAGTTGAGCAATGGCCTCACGGTCAGTGTTATTTTAACTGTTCTTTTCCCCAGATATTCTCATTCCCACAATATTTTATGACAGATTTCTTGAATCACATTTCATCTCCGAATACTAGTTTGGTGTGTGCTTCAACAAGACTTTTTTTTAGAAACACACAAACATGATACCATTATCGCATTTTGGAAAAGGATTAGTTCCTTAGAATCATCCAAAATCTAATCATTGTCACACAATATTTTTTTTTGCTTTTGTAGAATATCCATTTGGCTCAAACTCCAAATAAACCCTTCTTTGCCATTGAGATACATATACATTCTCACATGTAGGCAGTCCTTGCTGTGATTTTTGTTTCTAGCCCATTCAGCTAGGGTGAAATGATATCTTGTTGTGATTTGGGGTCGCGTTTCCCTGTAATAAGTGATGAACATATTTGTATGTGCTCTGGATCAACTGTATATCTTTAGATACATGTCTTTTCTGTAGGATTTTTTCCTGGTTTTTTTTTTTTTGGTGTTTAGAATTTTGTTCTTGAGTTTTGTGAGTTCTTTATCTATTTTAGATACTAACCCCTAGTCAGACATAATTTATAAATATCCCCCATCCATTCTGTTGGCTGAAATTTTTCT